TGGGAAAGGATTGATACGCCCACTCGTGTATGAGGCTTTGTACACCAACGGTTGTAATTGTTTTTTCCCGATCATCTTGATTTTAAATCTCAAAAAGCACTACCGTATTGAAAATAAACAACTGACAGCGGCATCTCTTCTCTCCCTCTCGTGCGATGGGAACTCTCTCTCTCTCTATCTCTATCTCCATCCCACCTCTCTCTCTCCATCTCCCACCCACCTCTCTCTCTGTAACACATCTCTCTACATCTCTCTCTCTACATCTCTCTCTGGCTGGCCCTTCTCTCTCAAACCCTCGATGCCCCTCTCTCTCAAACCCTCGATGACCCTCTCTGAAATCCTCGCTAGCCTGCTGCCCCTCTCTCTCAATCTCTCTAAAACTTGCCTCTCTCTTTCAATCTCTCTCCCGCCTACCCCTCTCAGCCCCTCTCTTAATCTATCTCCCGCCTACCCATCTCAGCCCCTCTCTATACATCTCTCATTGCCTATCCCTCTCGTTTTGGGGTTTCATTGTTTTAGGTTTTGGGGGTCTGATACAGTTACAAAGCCAACTGAAGCTATAATAGCAGCCATGGTTAACATACTCTTGGGTTTCGCAACAACTTAGAAGGTCGAGACTGAAATGGCAAGAATTATGGGTAAAGAAGCAGCCCTTTTTATTCTTTCTAGTACAATGAGTAATCTCCCATTTCCCATCTCTCTCAATCTTCCTCTATGCCCCCCGCTTTCTCTAGAAATACAACCTAAAACACAGAAAATTTCAGAAATTTCAGAAGTTTTCTATGCTCCATTGCTGTTGCAAAGGCGATTGGGACAATCTTCAGTGGATTTGAGGTTCAGGTACGCTATTTTTTATTCTTTACCCATTACTGTTTTATTTTGATTTCTAAAGTCGTTTTCTTTAATTTTTTAGGATATTTTTTTAATATGTTTCAGTGCTTTCTTTTAATCCTTATTTTTCAAGGTTTTGGTTGTTTTGGGTTTTGGGGGTTTTGGTTCTCTGTGCATAAGTTTTGCTCTGAGATTCGTTCTTAACATGATAAAACAAGTTTTCTTGTTCTTTTTTTTGGGTCCCCTCTCTCTCTCTCTCTCTCAATGCAACCTAAAACATAAAAAATTTCTAAATTTTCAAAAAAAAATTGTACTTACATAAAAAATTTCTATACAGGAAAATTGTTTTGCTACTCTTTGATTTAGAGCAAAATTTCAAGAACATAGTGTTACGGTACTCTTTGAACTATTTTGATTCAAAGCAAAATTTCAAGAACATTGTTTTGCTCATAACTGTTTTGCTACTCTTTGATTCAGAGCAAAATTTCAGGAAAATTTCATTAGTGATATGGTTCACTGTGAGATTAGCGCAAGTGAAGTGATTCTTGGAGATCAAAGCCATATTCATCTTTTAGAGAATGGAGGGATTTCGAAAATTGGATGCGCTCATTCAAAAACAGTTTCGAGGAATTTGGATGGAACCATAGATATCAATCTTATTGAAGCTACAATCAGGGATCCTGCAAAGGCCATGTGTTATCCGACTACACGGCGTATTTTCTTGGAGAATACGCAGGCTAAGTATGTTTTCTCTTCTGGTTTGATGGCTGAAATTTGGGTAACTAAATTGTGGAGTTCTTATATGCTCTTTTTTTTTTCTAATGGTTGGTGTATTCGTGTGGTGCTATGTGTCGACTTTGATTTTAAGATTATTACTGTTTGATAGGTAATTATTTTAGTGTTTGATGATTTCTCTAGATACTCATCAGAAATAATAAAAAAGAAGAATTAATGATTTGGTTGGGTTCTTTTCTATAATTGTGATTTACAATTTGCTGAACTTTTGCAATGTTTATGTTGATCATGCTTTCAATACTTTACAATGGTTTTCTTTAGCAGGATGTGCTTAATTAGCAACTCTTGTATTATGTCCAAGGGGTTTTGCAGAGAAGGGAAAAGGAGGTGGTTCCAGGGTTTCTGTGGGTGTGAAGTATTTTTTGTGAAATTGATTGTGAGAGAGAAACTTTTTTTTTTGCTTGAAAAGTTCAGCTTTTGAGGGTTTTTGTTTTCCAATAGTCGAATGGGTTTGTGCTTTGTGATTGTGTATAATTGAATTAACTTTCACTTTGAAATCAATAGCTTAATATAAGCACCATGTGTTGTTAGATGTTGCCTTTATCTTTGAAATTGTATAACCTATGTTGGATGTTACCATCTGTGTTGGATATTGTTGTAATTACCATTTGGATCATAATGCATGTAAAAACCTTAGTTGTTTTTATTTTTCCATGAATGTTACAGTAAGTTTCTCTTTAGCACTTAAGGTACAAATCAGTTACTCTCTCTCTCTCTTTCA